CATGTAAACAGGCAAAATCTTTGACATGCTTATTTTCAGGGAGACATGCCATTTTTGCCCTGCCTTAGACAAAAACCACTGTAGCTTGTGCTCTGCATTGTTAGGAACCCCAAAAGGCCCAGAAGCTGTACTAGAATGCTTCTCCAAACCTCCCCTGAAACTTGGTGGGGAGGGGGGCTGCCAAATTGGACAAGGAAACATGTCAGCAGTCACCTCCTTGCACTAACAGGTGGGGGGCAAAAATAGCCTTTCTGGTAGAACTTCTGGTCTTGGCTGCCATTAAGAAGGACAGAGGGATGTGAACTAGCAAGTGAAGCTGATGAGAGGGAATGTCAATTGGCCTGTGTTTTGTCTAGAAATGGGAGGTCTGTGGGAGAGATGTAAAGAAAAATGCACTGGTTTAGCAGGGGTGAAAGCTTGCTTTCTCATTCTAGTTGCTGGGTCTGGGCTCATACTAGGGTGGGGAGGGGTTGGCATGGGAAAAGAAACTGAGGAGGCAGGATGACTTCTTGGCCCTGAAGGCTTTGGCACTCATTGTATCAAAGTGCTACTTGTCCCATCAGATTGAGAAGTGAGACATGCTCCTGCCCCTCTCTCTCCCTGCAGTTAGTTGTAGCCTAAACTTTAGGCTGGGGATGGCAGGAAGTCTCCTGTGGCAGCTATTAACTGTTTATGCTGTTGGAAATCTGTGGGTTCAGGCTTTGAGAGAGGGAGGAAGAAAACCAGTACTCTCCAGTATCAGCACTGTGTGAGCTAGCAGCTTTTAGAATTATGTAGGAATTCAGGTGGGCAAAAGCAGCCTGGGGAACTGAACTGGATGGCATCATGTCTTTTTGGTGTCAAAATCTTGCAGCTTTCCAGGACTGAAAGCAAGTGCCTTCTGCTCAGATAGTGGGAACATCCAACTTTTTGGTATCCTGGAGCATTGTGTTTTTAGCTTCAGTGCTTTTCTGTACTGAACTTAAGACTCGCAGGTTCCTTGGTCTGTTGGTATCAACTAGTGTGATTGAGCATCCTGGATATAGTTGGATTTAAACCACTCTCTGCCCCTGTGCAGTGCTGGTGTTTGCTGGGATACCTTTTTGGATTGCTTTGCACTGATTGGGTTGGGGGGTGAGAGAAAGGGGAGCTGTGGGCTGGGCGGGGGGGGGTGTGTGAAAGAGGGGCTGTGAGCTGGGTTTCAGGGGGAGGGGGGTGTGTGTACATGAACACATGCTGAAACCTGGGCCAAACAGTCATATCCTTCAGAAGAATTCCCATAGATATGCTAAATAGACTGTATAGTTCTTGCCAAAACTCTGTTTGGCAATGGAACAATCCCACAGCCTTACGCTCCCTCCATATGACAGGATCATAGGGGCATTCACTGTTTGGCAGCTCTGGTTTTGGCTGCCAAAACCAACTTTGGTGCAGTAGCCAGAGGGATGCAGGGGGAGTGGGGTGGAGAAAGAAGGAACACAGCTTACTGAAATCTCTTGTACAAGGGCCTGGCAACCTTCTTAAGCCTTGGACTAGAACAACCTGGCTCCAGTCTGGTGCAGGCCAGTGGCTTTGACAGCATGTCAGCAACAAGGGAGGGGTTGTCTGCACTCACGGCAGGCCAGGCAGCTGGGAGCTGTGCTGACACTGCTTTTCCCAGCCCTCTCCTCCCTGGCTGGGGTGTGGGCTCAGTTTCTAGCCAGAGGGGAACTGGGATGGGGCCAGACAGCTGGAAACTGCACCTTTGTTGCTGCTGCCATTTCTCCTTGTTTCCCCTCCCCGCACACTTCCCTTTCCCTGGCTGCCATGCAGGGCATCTAGAAGCTGCCCAGCCTCAGCTCAGTTACCCATCTGCTGGGAGCTACAGTTGCTTTGCAGCAAGGAATGGGTTCAAGAAATGGCAATGCTGGTGCAGCTTCCATTTGGCCAGCCCCAGTGCAGCTCACTGCTGCCAGTCCCAACACAGGCGTGGGCAGAGGCAAAGCCTTCTGGCTCCATGGGCCGAATGCAGTGGCTCTATGGGCAGGGTCCAGCCTGAAGGCCATATAGTGCTGGCTCCTGTGTGGTGCTGGCCCCTTATACTATTGGCAGAATTAGGGTTAGTCCAAGGGCTGCACTGTTGGTGCCATGCATGATAAACCAGACTCAGAAAATAGCTCTAGCCCAGTTTGAGAGCTGCCCCTCCCCTGAGTCATTTCCTCTCAATGCTGAGCCTACTGAATGAAATCCGAAGCGTTTTTAGATTCCGGAGAAATGGCTTGTCCAGGATTCCTTTGTTCTCCACCACCGAGCTTCCAGCTTGCTTCTTGAAAGCTTTGTACTTTTGAAGAGCGGGGGCAGCCCTTATTCTGGGAGCAGAATATTTTGTGAGCGACTGTCCCCTGTGGAACTAATCACTTCCCATTGGACAATGTAGGCTGGCTCTTAAAGCAGTGTTATAGTCAGAAAAGTGGCTCCTGGAACCATGTGCATTTTGGGGGGGACTGTCTTGTATGACTTCAGATCCAAAGGCTCCACTTATTTAAACAAGGACATGGCCTTGCAGGCAGCAAAGGATCCCAGAGCCTCATTGAGCCCTCCTTGCATTTTTAAGGCAGCCCTTGCAATGAAGATCTTGTGATAGATAAATAGATGGCCATCTGTTATTGTGAAATGCAGAGCAGATGCCAGCTCCTGCTCCTGCAGCTGTGTGGACTCCACTGACAAGGAATAAAAGCTCTGGAGGCATCTGTGGCTCTTGGCCTCACGTGGAGCTGATACGCAGAGCCCAGGCTTACAATCTGCAGAGCTGTTTCCCTGACAGTAATTGCTTTCTTGGGAAGCATCTGTGTTATGTCCTGGTGGCACTGCCCCTGGCCCTGACATCCCAGCACAGCTCTTTGCTCCCTTTGCCTGTGGCTCTTTTGTTTGTTTGTTTTTTGTTGATGTCTCCATGTCTCTTGATGTTCTTATTTTCTGTCTGTCTTTTTCTCCTGGCTCCCCTCTCCTCTTGTGCTCTCTCACTGTCTTGTGGCTGAAATGTGATGTGTGCCAGCCGCCCTTGTGGCCAAGCTGAAAATGTATATAGCTGATGGTAAGTCACAGCCTTAGCCCTCTGCCTCCTCCTTTGTGTAGACTAAATGTGTCCTGATGCTTTGTGGTCTCTGAAATGTCTCTCTCTCTCTCTTCCCCTGTGTCCACTGGTAGTCCTGTGTGGAGTGAAGACCAAATTCCCCCCCAACATATTGTCCCAGAGCAAGAGATGCAGGGCCTTGTGGGGTGTTGGGATGGTGTCCCTCTTTTCTGGGGACAGTAGGGAGGGACAGCCCCACCTGGCCCACCAGTTCCCTGTTCTGGGCACTCTTAGACCTGGAATTGGAAGCTATCCAAATCTGCAAGGTTAACATATTTCTCTTCCTACCACTGAAGGCCCTGGTAACAACGGTGCTGGCCAGTCCCGAGCCATGATAGCTGCTGCTGCCCGGCGCAGGGACTCCAGCCACAACGAGCTCTACTATGAAGAAGCGGACCATGAACGGAGGGTTCGAAAGCGTCGAGCCAGGTAATGCAACCTCCCTAAAGCAGCATTGGGAGAGGTGTGATAGGACGGATGCCAAAGTAAATCTGTAGGCATGCAGTAAAAAAGATAGGAATTGGATTGAGGGAATAACTTTTGTTTAGGAGACATATGTGTGAGAGTGAGTGTGCAAGTGATGTAAGCAGAATCCCTTCTGTACAAAAGCAAAGGAAAAAATACCATATTTACTCAAGTATAAGATGACCCCCCACATAATTATATTGGAGGTTTGCCTTGAATTTGAACCCTTCCCACTGCTACAGCAAAGGAAAATTAAATCTGGAGGTCAGGTAGCCCCCTTGCCCTCTGTTCTCTCCCCCCTCCAGCTTCTTCCCCCTACAGCCCCTTTCCTCTCTCCTTACTGTCAGACCCTGCTCTCCTTGAGCACATGGAAGTGAGGAGAAAATTTGAAAATACAGGCACCCCCTGCTAAGCGCTTCTAATTGGTTCGTGAAAAATGGAGCATTAAGCAGAATAGCAGTAAGCGAAACCTGCTGCCAGCTGTACGATGCCCGTGAGCATTATAACGAAACTCACTAAGCACTAAGTGGAACTGGGTATCAATGTAAGATGAGTGTTATCGTGAAACAGCACTAAACAAAACAGCGTTAAGCAGGGGCTGCCTGTAATGACACTGAAATAAACATACCTTTAGCAATTTGCATATAGGCAAGTAGTCATGGACTTGGTTTATCCAGACTTGAAGAATTGTATGTTTTTTGAAACTGCTGCAAGTTTCAGGACACTTGTATTTACTTCATGTATAGTGCAAACTATACATGATTTTAGTCCACAGCCAAAAGACTGATGATTTACCATAGAGTTCATTGGGCTGGGCCCCACCACAATCAACAGCATTTCAAGCCATGCTGACCCCACTGCTCAGTGTGTGTGTGTGTACTCCAGATTACCACCCCCCCCCGAAGAATCTGTGTGCTAATTAGATCCCCACTCATGACTGGAACTAGTTGTTTTTATCACGAGTCCTGGGATCCCCCCAGAATTTATATGTAGATGAAGTGCAGGGGAGCCTCCGGCCACAATGCTGCTCTGCATCTCTACCTCATGGAGGGTGGAGCACAGTAATTTGTAATAGGTGGAGAGGGGGACAACAGAGGGATTCTGGGTGAACTGTATGGGGCCCCATTTATTGATGTTTGCCAGACATTTAAGGTTGGTGAAGAAGCAGGAATCCTTGGAAACGGGAAAGAAAGGCACAGCTCAGCTGCAGGAGAGAAAAGGAAACTGAAACTTATTCAGTGCAGTGGCTTACCATGACTTGGAAAAAGAGTCAGTGCTGAGCAGGACTGTAATTAATGGGCACAAATGTATATTTTATTTTAACTGGCTGCACTAGTCTGTCCTTGTAGTAGGTTCCCATCAGCATCTTGGACTTTTCACTAAGATGAAGCATTTTTAGCACTAAAGGGAGGGTGTCAAGGCTGGCTCTGGCCTTCTTGGTGAGGACTTGGCATTGCAGAAACTCCAGACCTAGTGGAGGGAACACCCGCTTGGTTGTGGGTTTGTTTTTTGGTATGTGTG